TAATGTCTGCACATTACATACAAATGATTCAGTAAAAATTATATGTCTATATGTATTAGACATATTTATGTTTCATAAAATTATATAAATATTATACACATATATTCATATATTTATAAATAATTTTACAAATATATTTACACATTTTATTATATAAAATGTATATATATGTAAATTAAATTAAAATTATATGCATATAATTTTATATAATATAAAATACCTAGAGAGAGAAGCAATTGTGGCGAAATTAACAACTAGCAAGTCTTAGCAAGGGTGAGACATGGGTGTTCTTTGTATTATTCTCTTAACTTTTCCATTGGTTTGAGATGTCTCAACAAAGAGAGTAAAAATAGAAATACCACAATAAGAATTTTTTCTGACTTGTTTAATTAATTTTATTTGGATTACAGTAACTTTACATAAAATTATTATTAATGCTACTTGAACATCTGGTGGGGACATTACACAGTGTTGGGTTTCTGTATGACTGGGCAAAACTTACTTTAAGCCTTGGGATAGTTTTACTTTGTATTATTATTTCTAGCATGAGTATTAAGCTTTTCCTTTAGTAGTAATAAAATAAATAAAAATATGAGAATAATGGGGAATGAGAGAAAAAGGAAAAATAGAAAGAAAGGGAAGTGTATTTCTGTATTGTCATTGATTAGTTCCTTCTTTAGCTAAATTCAAGCCACTTTCCAAGTGTCATCTACATTTCAAGTGTCATCTACAACACCACCTACTACAGAAGGCCATAAATAAAGCCCCATATCTCCTTGTCTTTCTTTCTTCTTTTCTGTTCTTGGGATCCTCATCATCTCCTTATATAGTTCATATGATATTGGGCAGGAAGTGAAGTGGTTAAAAACTGTCTCAAACCATTGTGATTGTGGAAACTTCGAAGGATATAACCAGACATTTCTGGCCAGGTGTTGCTGGTGTTAGACTACACTTCCTCTTCCAGTGATCCCATAGCATTTTTTTTACCTCCATTCATATTCCTGGATGTTTTTATAACTGAGGAATGAAGAAAAAGGAAAAGCCTAGAAAAAAGAAGGGGAAGAATGGGCAAGCCTCTGACATCTATTTTGTCTTCATCCCTCTGGTCACAGTTTGACATCTATTATTAAGTGCTGAAACTCGTAAGTTTTGCACTCTTCAGTGAAGAATATTTGGGTATTTGGGGGAAAAGGAGGGCACAGAAAAGGAAGTGCCACCAAACAGGAAAAAGAATGTTCTTTCTGCCTCTGTGTAGAACCAAGCACCCTTCTGGCATCAAGAAGAAAGTCAGGGAGCACCCAGGGGTGGCACTGTGAGCAAAACATTGGCATTTCCAAGATGATCAAAGTTTTTCCAAATAATTTCATAGGTAAAAGACAAGGACAGATGGAAATCAGAGCAAAAGATAAAAAGGAATAAAGACATAAGGATGTGGCTCTATCTAACAAAATGATCTGTAGGTACATGTAAGGGTTCCTTGTGTCCTCCTCTGCCAAGGTCCTGCCTTCATTTTGGAGAGGGCTAGCTACAAAACAAATCTTGGTGTTATAGGTAAGCCCCATGATCTTGTATAATGACTGGGTTTTATTTTTAGTTCATGCTCCAACAGATATTTGCTCTTCCTACCAAAATAAATTTCCAATGCCCTCCTATCAACAGAAAGTGCAGGGAACAAACCCTGCTTGGAAAATGTCTCCATCTAAGAGCTGAAACACACTCAAAGAACTCTAATACGGACAGTAGGCCAGTGAGCTGCAGCTCCCACATACATTATTATTAACAAATTTAACAAGCATTCATTATTTGGCAGAGCATATGAGAAGGAAGAAAACCCCCCAGGGAAATTGCCGAAAAATCCTCCTTAATTAAAGACTGTACTTAGAGTAGTTGCAAAGTCAAAAAAGAAAGGACTTCCTAAGTTTACAAAGATGGGTCTCAAAGCAAGATGCTAACATACAGTGCACACATCCCAGGAGAGACAGAGAAACATGGAACATGTTAGAACATAACCATAGCCAGAAAATAAACTATTCTTTGAAAAGCAGTACAATATATGACCTAGGAGTTAAAAAAAAGGGCCTCTAAAAAGAGGCCTGGGTTTGAATTCTAACTCTGCCACCTTTCATCTATGTGACCTCAGGAAAGTTATTTAAACTTTTTGTACCTTATCAGGGGAACCAACCCCCAATATTTCAACGTAGGTCCTTTCTATTTTCCCTAAGTGTTGAGAAATAAAGAGAAAGAGTACAAAGAGAGAAATTTTACAGCTGGGACTCTGGGGGTGACATCACATATTGGTAGGACTGTGATGACGACCCCGAGTCACAAAACCAGCCAGTTTTTATTAGGGATTTTACAAAGGGATGGGGTGTACCAACAGGGAGTAGGTCACAAGGATCACATGCTTTAAAGGGCTATAAAGATCACAAGGCGAAGGCAAAATTAGAATTACTGATGAGGGTCTATGTTCCACTGTGCACACATTGTCTTGATAAACATCTGAACCAAAAACAGGTTTCGAGAGCAGACAACTGGTCTGACTAGAATTTACCAGGCTGGAATTTCCCAATCCTAGTAAGCCTGAGGGTACTGCAGGAGACCAGGGCGTATTTCAGTCCTTATCTCAACCACATAAGACAGATACTCCCAGAGCAGTCGTCTATAGACCTCCCACTAGGAATGCATTCCTTCCCCAGGGTATCAATTACTAATATTCCTTGCTGGGAAAAGAATTCAGCAATATTTATCCTACTTGCACATCCGTTTATAGGCTCCCTGCAATAACAAAAATAGGGCTCTATTCTGCCCGACACTGCAGGCAGTCAGACCTTATGGTTATCTTCCCTTCTTCCCTGAAAATCACTGTTATTCTGTTCTTTTTCAGGGTGTAGAGATTTCATATTGTTCAAACACACGTTTTACAATCAGATTTCATACTGTTCAAACACACGTTCTACAATCAATTTGTACAATAATGGTCCTGAGGGGATGTGCATTCTCAGCTTACGAAGATAACAGGATTAAGAGATTAAAGACAGGCATAAGAAATTATAAGAGTATTATTAGGGAAGTGATAAATGTCCATGAAATCTTCACAATTTATGTTCAGAGATTGCAGTGAAGACAGGTGTAAGAAATTATAAAAGTATTAATTTTGGGAAGTGATAAATGTCCATGAAATCTTCACAATTTATGTTCAGAGACTGCAGTGAAGACAGGTGTAAGAAATTACAAAAGTATTAATTTTGGGAACTGATAAATGTCCATGAAATCTTCACAATTTATGTTCTTCTGCCTCAACTCCAGCTGGTTCCTCCGTTCAGGGTCCCTGACTTCCCATAACAGTACATTAGTTTCCTCATTTTAAAAGTGGATTTAATAGTATCCCTCTCATGTCTTGTGAAAATCAAATGAGTTAATCTTTCTGAACAGTGTCTGGAACAGAGCAAGCACCAATAAATGATAGCTGTTATAATATATTAATTATTGTTGGTGACAAGTAATCTAGAGGCTGAGTCATCTCAAACATCACTTCTTTCTGGGGGGAAAAACTTAAATAACAGCAAGCTTCCCAGTGTCTTTCCTTTCCCCTTTTTGTTTATTAAATCTGACCATATATGCAAAATTGTATATTATTTTTGTCATGATCACTGTCAAATGAAGTTAAGACTTACGTTAAGTGAACCAATACAGTTGAATAGCACCATGTATAGAAATTTACCTCGATGGGGCTTATTCTTTATCTGGGTGTTTGCCTGTTAAAATAGCCCTTAGGCACACCTCCATCATGACACCACATGAATGGATGGCCTCTTCAACTAAACAGTGAGCTCACTGATTCCAGGGCAATGGCCTTAATGAGCTGAATCTGTGGTACATAAGCCAACACAATGCCTGGCATTTGATAAAGCCTACTGGTTTTACCTCCTGTTGTATGCCTGTTTTTGTTATAAGCAATAAATGTAATATTGTTATAAACTTCAAGCAGCTGGAAAAAGCCAGTGAAAGTGATTATCTTGGGATCCTGCACTAATTAATGAAGGAATTACCTAGCGAAATTCTCAAGAACACAACTGCCTGGGCTGCCATCCTGTCCTCCCAGATTGATTCAAGCAAACATGGGTGGAGCTCAAGCATTTGATTCCAATGTGCGGCCAAGTTGAAAGCTACTGCCTCCTACCTTTAACTGTATCCTCAATACACAGTGAACAGAATGATCATTTAGAAAATGTGGTCAATATGGATTCACAACAGCAACAAAGTGCACAAATAATCAGCTAAGATTATAGGGCAGCATTTAACAAATCATTGATCTGTGACACACTATAGGGGTTGTGAATGTTAACAAAAGGTACGAACCAATGACAGCTTCAGTCCTAAGGAAGGTGTTTTCAATTAAGATAGAGTACAAGGGAGTAGAAAAGGAACAATACAGTCATGTTAATATGGCTGACTAATCAAACCTTCTATTTTCAGAATTTAAAAAAATAAAAAATGTTTGTTGCTAGCTACATAGATAAATAGAAGAGTCCTTACCCTCTGGCAAGTCAACCTAGTGAAGAAGCAGTCATGTAAAATAAAACAAAAATTAAAATGCAATATGTTATATGAAAGGAACATGTAAGAATATACTACAACTTAAAATGTGCTCATCTTTTGACCTAGAAATCCCATCTAGGGAACTCTTGTATTGTAGTTTCCCCATACCTTGAGAAAATAATACAGAGTTATATGTTAGGATATTTGTAAAAGAATGTTTATGTACACATCATTATAGTAGGAGAAGAAAAGGAAAATAATAGAAAAAAAGAGAAAAAACATACATGTCTACTAATAGAAGCAGGCTGAATAAATTATAAAACATTTGTATACAGAAAGACTGAGGTATATACATGCTACAGTGGTTTTAGAAAAGCAAGTTCCAACATAAAGTATACTGCATAACCATATTTTTGTAAAAAGAAAATAAGAAAATATCTACATGTTTTTAAAGTTATTTATTTGTTGGAATAAAGACAGAAGAGTTTAAAACAAGTTACAAGCACTGAGTATACTGGAGAAATCAGATTGGAGGGAGTAAGAGTACAGTCCATTTACCATTTTTTGAGTATACCTGTTTTGATTTTTTTTGCTTTGACAACAGCATGTATTACTTTTGTTATTTAAATAGCTGATAAAATAAATTAAAATAAGAAAATACATTATGATATTCTTTTATTTTTTTCTCAGTTCAAGTTTAAAACAAACCACAAAAGATCAATGGGTTGATGCTCTCTACTGACACATCATACAATCAGTGGCCTCCCCACAACACAATTCAGGCCATCACTTCCAAAGGAAGAAAGGCTGGTCTCTCCACCCCCTGTAGGAAAGGCCTACCTTGTAACACACCACAATTCGGCTGAATCTGAAGTCTTGTATTTTACTCATGGAAAAAAAAAATACAAAGGAGATTTTGTTCTCAGGGGTTCCCACTGCAGCCTGGCACTAAAACAGCCCAGCACTCACTTCTGCTTGGAGAAATATTTTTTGCTCTTTTGGACATCAGACTTGATAGTATCACTGCCAGGTTTCCAGCCAGCTGGGCACACTTCCCCTTGTTTGTCAGTGAACTGGAAGGCCTGAACTAGTCTCAAAGTTTCATCCACAGAGCAGTCAACAGGGAGGTCACTACAGTGACCTGCTGAAGAATACCCGTATCATCAACGATAAAGAGGCCCCTGAATGAGATGCCTTCATCAGCGTTTAAGATCCCATAATCCTGAGCAATGGTGTGCTTTGGGTCTGATGCCAAAGGAATGTTCACAGGTCCAGCCCTCCTTGTTTCTTAGGTGTGTTGATCCATGCCAGGTGACAGAAGTGAGAATCCACAGAAGCATCAATCACTTGGCAGTTGAGTTTCTTAAATTCTTCTGTACCACTGAAAGCAATGATCTCTGTGGGGCACACAAAAGTGAAGTCAAGCAGGTAAAAGAATACAACATATTTCCTTTGTAGTCAGACAGGCTGATGTCTTTAAACTGACCGTCTGACATAACGGCTGTGGCTTTGAAGTCGGGGGCAGGGTGCCCAATTTTAGCATTTCCTGAAGACATCTTCCTATCAGTGGTCCTCACACAAGCTTCTGAGAACAAACTACCAACACCAGGCAGGGAGAGGATACTATGATAGTTATTCTTAGTAAGACATGAAAGCAATAATATTTTATGCTATATGACTTTCTATTTCAAATTAGTTGGGACTGTTGTGTAGACACCAACGGAATCAAAAACTATTTTATATCAGTATCAGTTCAGAGATAGTAGATAACAGAAATATAAAACACGATTTTTAAAGGAATTGCATATGAGAGGAGGTGAGAACCAGGTTTGAAAACACTTTGTTTATTTTGGCAACTGGTGATTTTCATCCAAGATTGAAATCATACGGGTCTCCTTGTTCTTTCTTCCAAAAGATAATGTTGCACCTGTCTTTTCATCATGACTAAACCACTAAATTTATAATTGGTGTGACAAAAATGCACTGATGAGTCAAACATGAGTGAGGTATTCAAAAGCCACCAGAGACTTGCACAAACATTCTAATCATCTTCCTTTTTCAGAAGCCTCAGCCACCTCTTCAGCCCTGAGTGCCAGCAGTGGGCCAAAGAGGTCTCTCTTGCCAGCATTAGACTGAAGCAGTGGAGTACAGAGAACTCCAATTATTGTTCCCTGATACAGGTTATTCATTCTTTTTGAGAGTTTGTCCCCGCAGAGAGTCCTTAATTGTATACCAATTACTATCTAACTGGCATTCTTCAAGGTGTGGCTATTTTATTAAAGAATTTCAGTAACATAAATTACAAGTGTCTATTCTTGCCTCTACAGAATGGTTTTATATTTCATAACATTTTATAAGCTGATTTATTTACAGTGTTAAATTTGTAACAGGCAACTTTATTAATGTGGGGAAATACAGTTTAATTAATATACATTATTTCTTATACATTAGCATGACAATCATACCCCCTCGATGGAAATACATGAACACAGCCACAGCGCCCCCAGTTTTCGAGCCCTCACAGGTTGATCTCTGTTGTTTGATGTTGCTGCTATGTGTTCTCTATTGGACAGGTTCTTAAAAATCAGAAGTGAGAAGTCCCACAATTAAAACTAGGTTACATCACAATGTATTATTAAAAGACAGTTATCATTTTTTCTTTACAGTAGTAATTTCTCAGTTTTTATTAGCCAAATTATATTGCCTTCTGGAAACTCCAGAGAGTAAGCACAATAGAATATTTCTAGGGAAATGGGGAACTTTCATAAATATGGGCTTGGTTTCCAAGTTGAAGCCAAAGCCAATTTTATGAATTTAATTTTTGTTCTACAAGGTCATGAACTTACAGTAAAACCAAGGGCTAAATTTAAAGCAACATTGATCTTATATATGAATCTGGGTGAAAACTATGCAAGGCAAGGCAGTTTATGCTGAATTAAGCTGTGTTTGCAAAATGTGATAAAAAGCACTGCCTATTTTGGAACCCATTTCAATGGGTGTGCACTCATGAGGGCTAAGTCAAATAAAAAAGTCTGCCCAAATTTACTTTGGGGTGAGGCTGTCAGATTTCACACAGTTTTCATTGCCAATAGCAAGCATTTCTCAGTCAGAGTGGACCATAAAGTTGCCATTTTTCAGAACTGAAGTTTACTCTTAGAAGAAATTTAACATTAGAACAAAAAGCCAAATACCTATATCTAAAACCAGCCCAAAGAATTAACTGTTTCTTATATACAGTATATATTACACAAACATACATATGTACATGTATATGTTTATGTGTATAGGACAGATATATATATTCTGTGTGTGTATATGTGTGTGTATAAATATATAAAGAGTGAGAGAGCCAGAAAGAGATAGACAAGAGGGAGATACACACACACAGACACACACACACACATCACTGGTTAATTATATTTGAAGACAATAAAAGAAAAAAGTTGATAGTATTTTTTTCCAGTAATATTGAGGACCAAGCCAGGTCTTTTCAAGTACATTATCTTATGAATCATACAACAATCATATGAAATAGCTATATCCTATTTATAGCTTTTTTTTTTTTTTAATTGAAGACAGAGAATTTCACGGACTTTCATAAGAAATGCAGCAAAGCTGGGTTGTAAAATAAGGTACCACAACTCCATATCCTTTCTTCTAGCTTTTAACTTTGTATAAGTCAGTGATTCTGCTACTTAACTAAGAGGAATGTTATTATGAAAATACCAGTCTAGGCCAAATATGCATGTTTTTGATCCACTTTAAATGAGTTAGCATTTGAATAGAACACAGGACAAAGCTTAAGGAACAAATAAACAGACAAGACAATAGTGTATATTAAAAATTCAATTAAAATATTACATAAAAATTTAAAAGTAAATACCTAGGGGGAAGAAACGTGCAGAAAAGAAAAAGTCACGTATGGAAGAGATGGGCTAGACTGCTCTGTGGAAAATGTGATGATTTTGTTAAGTTAAATTTATGGCTATTGCAGATTAAAAGAAAGAGAAATAAAAACAAACAGAATGACAGCTTAATGTTACAGTTGAATAGAATTCAAGTTATCCTGTAACAATTTTAATTTAAATATAATATGCCAACCTCTACCTTTAAAGCAAAATAAAAGCATATATAATGTCCCATTTTTCCACATAATTAAATTGTGTTCCATTATGTCACCAAATGGTTATTATGAGCCATATACATTTTACTTAAAAATAATCTGCACCTGAAAAAGGTAAAGTAGAATTTAAGGGGCTTAATCACATTTGCAGATATGTTGATTATTCATTCAGTTAAAGTAAACCTTTGAAACCAAATATTATTTCAAAGTATAAGAAAAATATAATGGATGCCTATTTAAAAATTCCCATATAGGTATAACCCCTAATATTTTACCAATCCAAAAGCATAAAATCTTTTGAAATTAACAACTTAGAGATGGCATGTGAACAAACCCTTAGAAGAGAATGAGTTTTAAGATGAGAGAAATTAGGGCAACATTTTCCCCAACTCCCTTATAAATGAATCTAGTATGTTACTCATACTACATTTTAATGGGAACATATTCAATAAAAGACATTTAATATGAATTTTAAAAAAATATTATAAACTATATACAACTTGCAATATAAAATATTGACTTGCTGCTTGGGTTAATTACATTTTTATAAATAAAATATAAGCTATTCATAAAATGAGAAAAAGGAAAAATGAAAATAACTTACAAATAAACTTATTAGTAGGAGGATGACAAGGGCTAAAACTATTTACTCCCATGCTACTTAATATAATATTAAAGTGTATACATTTCTTGGGGAAATGCATGTGGAAACATTTCATTTAAGGTGGAAGGGACTGTGGATATTTGTCCAGGGAGTGTGAAGAAGCTGGTGTAGGATAAGGAGGAAAATATATGTAGAGCTGTATTCAAACATTTGGGAAGCTATGCATGCAAAAAGAAATAGGCATTTTTCCCCTGAGCTCTAAGGCAGTGGTAATCAAACTTTAAAGTACATAAGTGTGATGGTTAATTTTATGTGCTAACTTGCCTGAGCTGAGGGATGCCCAGATAGCTGGTAAAGCATTATTTCTGAATGTGTCCAGTGAGGGACACTTTCTGACTCATAGCTAGTGCCTTCTTTCTGTGTCCTCACATAGTAAAATGGGAGAGAGGTCTCTTTCTGGCCTTTTTCATAAAGGCACTAAGCCCATTCATGAGAGCTCTGCCCCTATGGCCTAATCACCTCCTAGTGGCCCTACCTTATAATACTATCATCTTGGGGGTAAGTACTACAGTATATAAATTTTGAGGGGATGTAAACATTCAAACCACAGCAATAGGAATCCTCACAAAGGTTGTTTACGATTTTTATTTCTGTATTCCACGCCTGGACAATCTGATTCCAAAGGTAAGAGTTGACATTTTTAAAAGCAGCAGAAAAGGTTGCAATGAATATGGTTGATAAATTAGACTCTAGAAAAACCAGTGGGTTGAAGGTGTGATATTACATCCATGTATGAAAAGCAAGGAAAACATTAACTGATAGTCTATAGTCCATCAGTTAGTCTGACAGTCTATTCATTCCTGACGCGGAGTAGATGCCTTATAGCCTCCACACACCCTCCCTTACTGATGATCACGTGCAGATATTCATCAGCAAAAACTGAATGCTCAATTTTTAAAATATATTCAACAATCAGACATTGATCATCAAGTTCACATCTATTCTCCTGCCTCTCACCAGGATTACTGCAACAGCCTCCTTACTGGTGTTCCTGATTTTACCATTGCTTCCCTGCAGTCTATGTTCAACAAAGCAAGGCAGAGATCATCCTAAAACATACGTCAGATCAAAACTGTACTCAGCTCAAACCCCCAAATTTTACCATGGTGTAGAAGGCCCCACATGTTCTAGCTTTTTGTGACTACCCTGACTTCATCTCCCTCTTCTCTCTACCTTCCAAGCAGACAGGCATACGGCTTCCTCACCTGACTTTAGTCTTTTCCTCAGGTGTCACTTTCTCAATGAGGCTTTTCTTGACCACCCTAGTCATAACTGCAATATCTTCTTCTCTGTTTTATTTTTTCCAAGTTATTTATCACAATCTACACAATGTACACCATGTATTTCGTTAATTGTTTTCTTGTGTATCACCCCACACAGAAATGCATGTTTTATGAGGGCACAAATTTCTACCTGTTGTTTACTACAGCGTCTTCATCTAGGGGATCAATAAATATTTGCTGAATAGAAGAATAAAGCAAAACTTAATGTTGAACATGTAACTACAATACATTTTTCTGCATATACATCAAAACTTGTCAAAAGCACAGCTGGGATAAATAGGTTTGGTAAAGGATTATTGCATTTCAATTAAGTTCCCCTGTTCTTGTAAGGGAATTTAGGAACATAGATGGATGAGACTTTATAACCTTTAAAGTCCTTTCCAGGGTTAAATTTTACCCCATCTATAAGCAATTCTCCCAAACAAATTGTGGCAGAGATGACTAATTACCCACCCTCCAATCCATACTGTTCATATACACCACATGCTATTTTCCCCTCCTTCTATATTAGTAGATCCGAGCTAAACACCACAACCCCCAGTTCCCAGACTGCTTTCCATTTTGATGTGAGGCATGTGACTAGGGTCTTCAAAACAGGATGTGAGAGAGAGAGAGTGTGTGTGTGTGACGGGGCGGGGGTGGGAGTGGGCTGTAAATTATAGATAAGTAGTCCTTAAAATAAATGAACATACCAATGCAATCCTCTTTCCCATTTTACACTGGTGTGATGTCATCTTATCCTCAACCATTGGCTAAAGATAACACCTTAGGATAACACAGCCACAAGATGATAGGACCCTGCCAATTCCATCAAGCTACCAAATCTGCTGCTCTGGACTGTTACAGGAGAGAGAAATAAAATAAATAAAACTCTCTTGTTTAAGCCAACGTTTTATTCTAGTAACCTAGCCTGTGTTGTAAATAATATATAGTATTTTCTTTCTTTCTTTTTTTTTTGAGATGGAGCCTCGCTCTGTCACCCAGGCTGGAGTGCAATGGCGCCATCTGGGCTCACAGCAACTTCCACCTCCCAGGTTCAAGTGATTTTCCTGCTTCAGCCTCCTGAGTAGCTGTGATTACAGGCACCTGCCACCACTCCCGGCTAATTTTGTATTTTTAGTAGAGATAGGGTTTCGCCATGTTGGCCAGGCTAGCCTCGAACTCCTGACCTCAGATGATTCACCTGCCTCAGCCTCCCAAAGTGTTGGGATTACAAGCGTGAGCCACTGCACCTGGCCAGCATTTTCATAGATAAAATAATCCTTGAAACTCTAAAAAAATAAAATTAAAATTCCAATATAAAGGTGGTAAAATTACGGCAGTAGTTCATTGATTTATTTAGAGGTGAGGGGTAGAAATCAAAATCATGTAGAAGTAGGAACTTTAAAAACATAACTTTATTAACTATTTATTTAATAAACAGTCACTTTGCTGGGATTGCATATGCATATGTTATTCAGTCTTTACAATAACCTCCAAAGGTAGGTATTATCATATATGTTTTACAGGTAAAACAGATAATGCTCAAGACGTTTAGAATTTTTTAAGGCAGCACTGTAAGTAAGTGCTAGAACGAAGAACCAAA